GATTTTTGAAAGGGGAGACGTTATTCCAGAAAAGTAAAGATATACCGCCGAGTGGAGTTACGCGAAAACAATTTTGGACGATTTTATGATAAAAATTTTACTAAATAATGAGAAACATGAGATTAAAAAGTGGAGGGCGCTCGCCCTTTACGGCCTATCCTGGATCCGCCACTAATAAAATATTTTTGTCGCGAACTTTAAATATCTGTCATACAATATTACAATTTTAATTCTTTGCATTCGTGCATTTGGAAATTTTAATAAAAAATTGGAAAATTAACCATATGAAAAAAAAACTAAAAATATTAACCCAACAGCAAAATCTACATCACAGGACAGGCAACAGCCAATAAATATTTTCATGGTTGACTGGTTGGCAGGTTGAGAAGTCGATAAGTTGACAATGTTAAAAATGTAAATATTTTTATGGTTGACTGGTCGACAGGTTGACAGGTTGACAAGTTGGCAAGTTGAAAATCTAATATATTAGTTAAAATTGAAGTTATGGTTGACAAGTCGACAGGTTGACAATTTGAAAGAATTTATATAGTGTAAATTAGTATTATTGGTGACTGGTAGACAGGACGACAAGTCGACAGGTTGACAATTTGACGGTGAGAAATGAAAACTGTAATAATGGTTAACAGGTTGACAGTCGACAGGTAGACATTTATAAGTCAAGACTTACTAAAAAGCTTAATAAACTGAATTTTAAAATTAAACCTGTCAACCTGTCAACCTGTTAACCATTACACATGTCAATCTGTCGACCTAAACACTTGTCAACCTGTCAACCTGTTGACTTGTCAACCTGTCGACCTTAAAACTTGTTAACCTGTCTACTATCACACTTCGACCTTTCTAGTGTCAACCTGTCGACCTGTCAACATGTTAGGCTGTCAACTTATGTACATATAAACCGATTTACGTAATCTAGATAACTTAGGAAAGGCAATTAACTCTAACGTGCATAACATAACGTAGGAAAATCACTTAACTCTAACGTGCATAACATAACGTAGGAAAATCACTTAACTCTAACGTGCATAACATAACGTAGGAAAATCACTTAACTCTAACATGCATAACATAACGTAGGAAAATCACTTAACTCTAACGTGCATAACATAACGTAGGAAAATCACTTAACTCTAAAGTGCATAACATAACGTAGGAAAATCACTTAACTCTAACGTGCATAACATAACGTAGGAACACACTTAACTCTAACGTGCATAACATAACGTAGGAACACACTTAACTCTAACGTGCATAACATAACGTAGGAACACACTTAACTCTAACGTGCATAACATAACGTAGGAACACACTTAACTCTAACGTGCATAACATAACGTAGGAACACACTTAACTCTAACGTGCATAAGATAGCGTAGGAGAATCTATTAACTCTAACGTGCATAACATAACGTAGGAACACACTTAACTCTAACGTGCATAAGATAGCGTAGGAGAATCTATTAACTCTAACGTGCATAACATAACGTAGGAAAAAACACTTAACTCTAACGTGCATAACATAACGTAGGAAAATCACTTAACTCTAACGTGCATAACATAACGTAGGAAAATCACTTAACTCTAACGTGCATAACATAACGTAGGAACACACTTAACTCTAACGTGCATAACATAACGTAGGAACACACTTAACTCTAACGTGCATAAGATAGCGTAGGAGAATCTATTAACTCTAACGTGCATAACATAACGTAGGAAAAAACACTTAACTCTAAAAGCATAATATAAAGTAGAAAAACACAACTTTTATGGGCATAAGATAACGTAGGAAATCACATAGCTCTAACGGGCATAATATAACGTAGGGAAAAAACTCTACTTTAATGGACATACGATAATTATAGGTTTCATAACGAGTGAGAATTGGATATCGCTTGATATCAACTCGAGTTATTTAATTTCAATATAATAATGTAATAAACGAGCCTATGGCGAGTTTATTGTTACTATTTAAATCAAATAACGAGAGTTGATATCAAGCGATATCAAATTTTAACGAGTTGTTAAACATATTTCTCTTACTGACCTAACGAATAGCCAATGGAAATGTCGTAATATCGTCTCATGATGCTGGATAAGCCAATCAAATTAACGCAGTTTTCGTATCACTTTTTCGTATCACACTCCGTGCAGTGTGGTACGAGAAATATCTCTTCATGCAAGAAATAGATAACAGGTAACAACCATAAGAGAACCTAGACAAATACTTAAATCTAATGGACATAATATAACGAAAGGCAATTAACTCTAATGGGCATAAGGTAACGTCGCAAAATCACTTAATAACAACGTAGGAAAATGTATTAGCTCTAATGGGCATAAGATAACATAGCAAAAACACTTAACTCTCATGGGCATCAGAATACGTAGGAAAAACACTTAACTCTCATGGACATAATATAATGGTAGGAAAGGCATTTAACTCTAATGGACATAGGGTAACGTCGCAAAATCACTTTTAAATAATAACGTAGGAAAATCTCTGAAATCTAATGGACATAAGAGTACGTAGGAAAAACCCTTAACTCTCATGGGCATAATATAACTAAGGAAAAACACTTAACTCTCATGGGCATAATATAACTAAGGAAAAACACTTAACTCTCATGGACATAATATAACTAAGGAAAAACACTTAACTCTCATGGGCATAATATAACTAAGGAAAAACACTTAACTCTCATGGGCATAATATAACTAAGGAAAAACACTTAACTCTCATGGGCATAATATAACTAAGGAAAAACACTTAACTCTCATGGGCATAATATAACTAAGGAAAAACACTTAACTCTCAAGGACATAATATAATGGTAGGAAAGGCATTTAACTCTAATGGACATAGGGTAACGTCGCAAAATCACTTTTAAATAATAACGTAGGAAAATCTCTGAAATCTAATGGACATAAGAGTACGTAGGAAAAACCCTTAACTCTCATGGGCATAATATAACTAAGGAAAAACACTTAACTCTCATGGACATAATATAACTAAGGAAAAACACTTAACTCTCATGGGCATAATATAACTAAGGAAAAACACTTAACTCTCATGGGCATAATATAACTAAGGAAAAACACTTAACTCTCATGGACATAATATAACTAAGGAAAAACACTTAACTCTCATGGGCATAATATAACTAAGGAAAAACACTTAACTCTCATGGGCATAATATAACTAAGGAAAAACACTTAACTCTCATGGGCATAATATAACTAAGGAAAAACACTTAACTCTCATGGGCATAATATAACTAAGGAAAAACACTTAACTCTCATGGGCATAATATAACTAAGGAAAAACACTTAACTCTCATGGGCATAATATAACTAAGGAAAAACACTTAACTCTCATGGACATAATATAACTAAGGAAAAACACTTAACTCTCATGGACATAATATAACTAAGGAAAAACACTTAACTCTCATGGGCATAATATAACTAAGGAAAAACACTTAACTCTCATGGGCATAATATAACTAAGGAAAAACACTTAACTCTCATGGGCATAATATAACTAAGGAAAAACACTTAACTCTCATGGACATAATATAACTAAGGAAAAACACTTAACTCTCATGGACATAATATAACTAAGGAAAAACACTTAACTCTCATGGGCATAATATAACTAAGGAAAAACACTTAACTCTCATGGGCATAATATAACTAAGGAAAAACACTTAACTCTCATGGGCATAATATAACTAAGGAAAAACACTTAACTCTCATGGGCATAATATAACTAAGGAAAAACACTTAACTCTCATGGGCATAATATAACTAAGGAAAAACACTTATTATCCATGAAAATATAATTACGTAGGAAAAACACTTTTAAATCTATCGGGCATAAGATAACTTAGTAAAGGCAATTAACTCTAACGGGCATAAGATAACTTAGTAAAGGCAATTAACTCTAACGGGCATAAGATAACTTAGGAAAGGCAATTAACTCTAACGGGCATAAGATTAACGTAGAAAAGGTTCTTAATTCTTATGGGCATAAGAATACAAAGGAAAAATACTTAACTCTAATGGGCATAAGATAACGTAGGAAAAGCATTTAACTCTAACAGGCATATAACGTTGAAAAAAAAAACGCTGAACTTTTATGGGCATAAGAAAACGCAGGAAAATCTCTGATGGTCATACTGTAACGTAGGAAAAACACTTAACTCTGATGGGACATTTTTCATGTCGGTTTTTTTAGCCGACTATACGGTATGGGTTTTTCTCATTGTTAAACCGCACGGTTGCCTATAATTGCTTCCATTCAATTCATTTGAATTTTGGTGGATAGCTGTCTCATTGCAATCATACCACATCTCCTTATTTTATTTAAGATAACGTTGGAAAAACACAAAACTCTAATGGGCATAAGAAAATGTAGAAAAAACAATTAGTATAAAATAAGAAGATTTTGTATTATTTCAACGAGAAAACTTTCCATCAGAGACCACCTGACGTAGATGTTGTCACCGTACAGCCTATCTAACTCTAGAATACCAATATAAATGTCAGGATTTTTAACATGTATCTAATTATAAAGTGCTTTAAGGTAGCTCAAAACTGTAATGTTGATTGAGTGTTACAAATATTGAGTATATTCTTATATCAAGGGCTGTTTTTTAGGACACAAAAAAAAATAAAAAAACAAAAGCACAAATTCTTTAACACATTTAGTTAATACTCATATGATAACAACACATATTCAAATAGAATTACAATACATTAAGTGATTAATAATATAACTTCCACTTGGTATCTCACAGTCTGTATGTCTTGGTAAATAACAATTTTATTACAATATCAATTTTACTAGGGTTTACCTCCAAGTACATTCATAATAAAAATGCAATAGTCTTTTTTAACGGTAAGATACAGCTTTATGTCGGGGCCTTTTAAAGCTTACTACACATATATATATATTTATATATATATATATATACAGTGTGGGTTTTGCTCATCGTTGAAGGCCGTAGGTGACCTTATAGTTGCTTACATCCATGTTCTTTAGTCTCTGGTTGATTGTTGTCTCATTGGCAATTATACCATTTTCATATTTTATAATACTTTTGACCTGTAAGCTGCTGTGGTATTTATTTCTTTAACAGATGACCCTGATATTGTGACAATAACAGTATCTGCTTTAACAACTCCTTCGACCGTTGTTCCAATGACAACCACAGAAACCACCACCAAGACGACTACAACGTTGTTTGACTCAAGCAATAGAAATATTTCCTACCATTTACATGAAACCTTGGAAGGAGTCCGTTCTGACGAAGCTTTACCTCTATGTAACTCATTAGATATGAATATTGCAACAATAAAATCTGTACTTATCTATAACTCAGTGAAGGATTACCTCGGCGGTATTGACATGTAAGTATAATACCATCACATTGTCGTAAATATAATATGATTCTATTTAAAAGAAAGAAAAGTGATGATTTTGATTTTGAAATATAAACATCGGGGTAACTTCAATAGCATACAAAGTTTAATACAAAGTTCTAAATACGGACAATAAGGCCTCTAATGTTATTTGGAAAGACAACATAAATGGGCAGTTGTACATGATATCCATTGTATACTACAGATGTCACTCATGGGGGTTTTGATTATGTGATTACTTGGCCATTTTTATGGTGATTATTTGATTACCAGACCAAATATTTCCTGATTATTTGATTATTTGATAATCTAGGACTGTATTTTTGATTATTTGATTATCTTGTTTAAAAAAATAATTAATGATTATGTGATTATATTGGCAAAAAATTTGTGATTATGTGATTACTTGGACACCCCCCATGAGGGGCCTCAGTAGTACTACTCTGATAAAACATAGCGCTTTGCTGTAGTTGTTTTCCAAAACTAGCAAATGATATAACACGAATAAAACTTTCGCTGAATGAGAAATATATTGTTACCATTTTGAGCCCAAATTTACTTGTGCAGTAGATGATTCCCGGAACTTCATGTTTCACTACAAGACTTTAGACATGGGTTGAAAATTGGCATGTACAAAGTTAATAATTCAGGATAATTTATACATGGTTTTCATGAAGCTAAACTTTAGGTAAAATATTTAGAAAGCTGAGAGTTGTAAAATTTTGTGATACATACAGCAAGATATACAATTTACTGTTACTCATTTAACATGTCTTCGCACAACTTAAACGACGAACACATGAAGCATCCCTTTACAGGCTATGACTTAATAAACGTTTTGACTGTTTTGTAGAGTTACTACAGTCATTGAATTCCCGACAAACCCATGATGTTAAAACATTTACAAATACAGTCACTGGATTCCTGACAAACCTATGATGTCAAAACATTTACAAATACAGAAATATATAACAGCTCTGTCGAAATATATGTTCGATCACCGATTTTATGCTCCAATAAAAATGCTTCTATCGCCATTTTTAAAGTCCAATATAATTGCTTCGATCACCGCCTTTACGCTCCGATAAAACAAGCATTCGATTCTTGCAAAAGGCCTGAATGTCACTGAACTGAATGAATCAATATTTTAGCGGAACATTTTGGAAATTATGAATTACACAAAAATAACAAAATTAGTTTCCACAATTCATTTATGAATATATTAGCTTTGTTGAATTTGTAGGGGTTTTCATTATTTTGTCCTCATTTCAATATGAATATTAATTTTAACGTTCCATCCATCTTGTATTGTATATAAGGGGAAGCCGATGTATGTGGATCGGACTCTATTGGAAGCTAGAAACATTACGTCACGAGTGGGAAGATGGTGAACCCCTTACCTGGGCACAATGGTATAATAATAACCCTTCTTGTATGAAACCAACGAATGATATTCGCTGCAATGGTATTGAAAGGAACTGCGTGTCCTTTACTCAGGCCTTTAATTTCAGAACTAAGGATTGTAATGGAGTGTGTAATGTTTTATGTGAAAGCAGTGAGTTTATCGTGTTATAGTAAATATGTACAAATGCAACAGATAAAACTATCATTTTACAATCATTATAGAAGGTAATTATTGTACCTTTTTAACTCACAAATAGTTGAACGGATTATACTTTTCTTTTTCCCTGGCTTTTTGAAGAGCCATGGAAGTTTTTCTTATCATTATGCATCAGTCGTCAATAGACAAGTTACATCTTAAGTTCTGTAACCACCGGACTCTGTTATCGACAGCTACTAAAAGGTTCTTAAGCTTGCGTTGGACGGCTTGTTTAATTGATTTATCTAACAAAATCATAGACGCTTTTTACATAGGGATTCATTGTGGAAAGACATTTCCACATCGGTTCCTTGTGTTGGATTTTTTTTCAATGTTTCTCGTGTGCTACATGCCGATATGATGAGTTAAGCCTTATCCAACTGATTTAAGGAGAGGGTTAAAACCTCACAAACATATTAACCCTGTCACATTCTTTATGTGCAATTCATAGCATCAATTATTAATTAAATGTTAAAAAAACGGTTTCAATGATGGAATTATGTTCGGTTTGGAAGCCTATTACATGTCTACAATTCAATTTTTTAATGTATCTAGTGTTATACTTGTCCCTGAAAACATCCCTTTTGTGTTACAGACAGGTCATCTACAGTGATAACAACAAGTAATAATAAGTTAACGTCTGCCACACCTACAGAGGAATTGTCTACAACAACAGAGCTCGAGGTTACAAAAATTATTACAGCATCTCCGGCTTTGAAAACTTTATGGACGGTTGGAACATGGTCATACCAATACATTCAGCTTGATAATGAAGTTGTGAATTGGACCCAAGCACTGCAACTGTGTAAAGGGAGGAACATGGACATCTTAATGATCAAAGATGCAGGTAGATTGGAGATTATAAAAGATATTATTCAGTATCTTCAACTAAATGGAATGCAAGTATTATAACGATCATCACTGATATTTTTTCTGTTATTATTTTGTTGTTGTGAGGTGTGATTTGTGTTTTCTGTAGAAATCAACCAAAGATGAAGAAACGAATCTTAATTCCCTTTACTGGGTACTTTAGTTATATAAGGGTCTTTCCAAATAACGTTATGTTGTTGGGTCTGACAGAGGCTCTACAAAACCTCTTTCCAATTCATTTACATTTTATATCCGCTATCAAGACTACACTGCAGGCACTTGTGTCGTGTGTTTCTTAGACGGGTAGTAAAATAAGGGGTTGTATCAGAGTTGGTAAATTTACTTTAAGACTAGTGAGATTTGCGCAGGTATGTTAGATATATGGTCATAGAAATTGATGACAAATACTATGATGGTATCATGTACTCAATCACCTGCGACCAATACCACAGGAGCTTGTGGTGAGATTTTAGATAAATGGTAAAATAAGGGGTTGTATCAGAGCTGGTAAATTTACTGTAAGACAAGGTGAGATTTGCGCAGATATGTTAGATATGTGGTAAATACATAGAAATTGAATATATAATGCAAACAATGACAAATACCATATTGGTATCATGTATCCACGCACCAGCAGTAATCAAAACTGAGCTCCAAGTACAAATACACATACTTATACACACACACACACACACGTATATATATAATACGAGGATATAGATTCTACTGGCACATCAAGATTGTTATACATGTATAATCTGTATAACTGCAAAGTAATAGTAAAACTGTCTTGTTTATAAAAGTTTAATGTTTATTAGATGAAGTATAACTATAAATATTTCAGTAATAACACTGGTTATTGGATTGGTATGGTATGGAACGAAAACATTCAAAAACACAAATGGCTAGACAATTACACAGTTACGTGGACCAAATGGGCCAACGAAGAACCGAAATGCATGGCAGGATGGAATACGTTGTGGTCTTTAGAATGTTTAGGAAAAATAAAAAATTGTGTCGTTTCTGCTGGCTCTTTTTTCAGGACTAGAAACTGTTTAAATCTACATAAAGTCATCTGTCAACAGTGTAAGTTATATAAAAATAATATACCATATTTTGTTTTCTAAAGTAATTTGTACTTGCAAATCTGTATGTTGACCTCTAGAAGTATACTATTTGCGTCGTTAGTTTTCTGTCTAAATAAAGTTTTAACTACCAAACTTCTCGTTATATTCAAATTATAAGTACAAATCATGATATCACCGGATGATACATGCACTTCCTACAATAGAAATAAACAATAGATATTTTCCTGTCCTGAAAGTTTACACAAGATTAAAAATGGAATTTTATTTCTGCAAAAATACACAATGTTTTTAACCTTTCTGAAGATGCGGTACTTTGTGGTTTTAAATTATGACCTGAGGCTGTTAATTTACTTTTATCCAAAGTTAATTTTTTATTTTTCCATAACGAAAGATGAAAAATAACGGGATAGTAAACCCATCCTTAACGAAAGGCTGTGATTCCAATAAAACTTTCAGTAATTACTCAATTAATGGAATTTACTTATTGGCTTTGATTTAATGATTTTGGATTTTCAATTATATTCAATCAAGTAAAGTATCTAAATGCCCTTTCGGTTTAATGTTCGTGTTTAACATATCCATGTAATAAAGATATGCCACATCCCTGAAGAGACATTAATTGTCGAAATGCGCATCTGATGCAGTAAAATTGGTAACGTTAATGTTATTGCACACAGACAAACGCTCTCGTGCTCGCTCAACCTAAACAAAACAAACACACACACTCACATTATGACACAAGCCTTGGTCCTTCAGTGGATTTGCTATTGTCCTTATATGATATACTTTGTTTCCGTCTTAATTTACTTACTCACATTTGTATTTACTCATTTAAAATATTTACATCTGACTGGGTTAAACGTAGACTTGTTGAACTTTACCTAAAATAGTTTGTTAACAATCATTGACAGCCGTGTGTAGAGCAGTTTCCTTTCTTTCCATATAAAACGTATTGTGCAAAATATCACGACATATATATTGAATATGATAAACAACATGACCAGGCCGCAAATAAAAACGGCAACTTATAAAATTTTCAATTTAAAGAAAACCTTACGAACAAAACCGTAAAAATATATCAGAAAAACCAGCAAATTGAATCTGATGTGGATTTCCATCCAAACGGCCATCCACATCGAATAATGAACCAACACAGGCATTTGTCTCAGAAAAAAAATTCTTTTTTTAGGTATATAGGAAATTTTTTTCTGAGACAAGTGCCTGTGTGAACCAAATGTAATTGTGAAACGTTAGTTTCCTTAAATTTATGTTTCGCGGGTAAAACATGCAAACCTACCCGTCCTTTTATAAATGTTACATGTAGTGCAAATGTATACAAAAGTTCTGGTCAAATATAATTTCAGATATTCTAACATTGTAGATATACAAATGGTTGGAGCACCAACTTACGGTAAGAATTCTTTCAAATATACAGCTGCTGTTTTATGGAGTTATCTACTTGATTATCTTAGAAAAGTTGCAAATTTCAGTCAGTTTAAAAATGTTTTAAAGTCTTGAAATTGAAATGACCGAAGTGCACAGTTTGCGCAGACTATCAATATATTTGGTTAATTTTTTACCTATTCAAATAATATCCTATCTTTCCTTTTATGCATTTTACCTGCTTCCTAATTATTCTTCAGTTGGTTTACGTTTGTTTATTTGCTTCCTGCTTTAATACATAGCTTATCATACTTATAAATCAGCTTACTATTATCATGCTTATAAATCAGCTTACTACTATCATCCTTATAAATTAGCTTACTATTATCATGCTTATAAGTCAGCTTACTATTATCATGCTATAAATTAAAGTGCTTCATTATTGTGTTTGCGCCTGCGTATGGAATTATATATTTCCCAGTTGATACGATATTCCAGAGATTGTATTTGCTATCATAATTTCCATGATAGAGGGTTGCTGCTTATAACGAAGCTATTAAAAGAGTTCCAGATGGCGAAATTAAAGTCGTTCCTTCGAAAATTTTACGGACGCCATGACGAGTTGATTGAACGTTGTGAAATATATGTTTCACAGATGACAATTGTCGTGAGCCCAATCAAGTCCTCTTTTCCTCGAAAGTCATTGTGAAAACCGACTTAGACTTATCGTCGGGTTTGTACTAACATGAGCAACACGACAGGTGCCACACGTGGATCAGGTCTACCCTTCCTGAGCACCTGATGTCACCCGGTCTTTGGTGGGGTTCGTGTTGTTCAGTATTTAGTTTTAGTTTATGGGTATGAAATCAATGAATACCCAAAATATATAAAACATAATCTGTAACGATTCTACTACACGTTTTAAGGGTCATTCATTATTTTCATGTCCATAATATACATACAATAAATAGTCATTCGATTATTATTTTTTTCATAACGTAGTGTTACAGAAAAATTGCTATCAAGGAAAGAAAGCTTATAGTTTTGCATACCAATAAAATTGTAATTTGTTCATTTGTAGAGAAGGAAGTCGAAACACGACCAAAAGTTCTTTACTGTAAATGTTCTATGCGGAAAATAAACAAGAAATGGCACTTTCTTGATGGAGCTAACATTTCGGAAACAAAAGTTGAAAACTTGGTTCAGAAAGACTTTGAAGATAACGTAAAGGGAAATATAAGCGTTAACAAGAAATCGCTGTCCAGTGTAATTCAGAAAAAGAATTCTATAGATGACAAAAGGCCTGAATCTAAAGCAATAGGATGGTCGGCAACACTCTTTGTAGCAATTCCAGTTAGTTTTATTATATTAGTTGATGTAATAGACATGGTGAAATATCTACAGAAACGAAATTAAAACACCTTATGACTGAGTGTAGATTCGAATGGTAGATTAGGCATGTAAGAGACGATTACCCTGTTGACTCAACCAGTATTGCTTTTTTCTTTCATTTCTGAGATATGAAAACTACTGCCTCAAATTTATACACAGAAAATTAAGATCAGTATAATGTATAATATTTTAAAAAAAGGATCAATCGGAGAGAGAGAGAGATGCACTATAGTATAAACTTTGTTATACTATATACTATGTTATACTATAATCTATTTATTTCTTAACTAACTTCAGTTCATAGTAAATAGTTAGCACAACATGTCATGACTTTCTAGAAAAGAAATATCTATCTATAAAATCTAAAAATAATCAAATGCATTTTGATCTTAACACCATTTATCTCGCACACTCCTTTCAGTAATCTATCTACTGATTTTCAGTGTTGCATTCTCCACTAAGCATAGTATTTTGATTAGATTAAAACCTCAATGCTTTTTGTTGGAATGTGACAGTGAATTATCACTGTCTGAGACTCAGATGATATATTTTCATAAGAGTGACCACCGTTCAACTAGATCAAAGTCCAATGTACAATATTTCTTATAGTATCAGAGAAAAACAAACCATGCATCTCTGCCTATACCGAAAACAGCATTTGTACAAATTTACTGATTATGTAAATACTTTTTGAAATTTTGTTTTATTAAATGTATAAGTAAAGTCTTTTTATTATGCTGAATGTTTAAGTGGCGGTTGTATGTATTTCATTTTTTTTTTCTTCAAAATTTCTCTAAAATTCCATATTTATAAAAAAAAAAATACTGTTGACAGAGATATGTCTCGCCTGTATATCATTTTGATAGAATAATAATGCAAACGTTGGAATTAAAACGGCAATAAATTAACATGTAAACTATGCAAAACAAAAAGACAATGAACCATGACTGAAGGTACAGGGCCAAATACTATCCTTGGAAATGAGATATGCCAGTGCTAAAACAATTTCACACCAGAGATATGCGATATGCCAGTGCTAAAACAATTTCACACCAGAGATATGCGATATGCCAGTGCTTATACAATTTCAAACCAAATACCATTGACTTAACATAAGTGGTTACCCTTAAACTGACATAAACATAAACTTTAAAAAGTAAACTATGCAAAAACTCAAAAATCTATAGACTATCACTGAGGGGGCGGTGTCAAACAATCTGTATGGAAATGTAATATACAAATGCATACCAAATATCATTGACCAACTACTAGTGGTTCCTCTTAAACTGACCTATAGTACTTATAAACTAATAAATTATTGACGCTGCCGATGCCGATAACAGCACGTTAATCTCCTCTTAAAGAAAGTGGATTGGACCTCAACCCTTGAGTTAGCAAAGATGAGGTAAATATAAATTTGCATGGTTTCTTATATACTTTAAAAATAAGCAAGAATAACGATTCATTTACAATAGAAAAAAATCTCTATTTTAGCGAGGCAAGGAATCTTGGCACAAATGTGTTCAATAAAGGAGATGTTAATAAAACTAGGATATAGTAAAATTTGAATCAACAAGACGAAAAAAGAACGAGTACCACAATTTTGCTTCCTTTTTGTACTTGTTTATTCAAAATAAAATGTCGGTAAAATGCACACACTGCAAATGAAACAACGGTGGTTTAAAAAAGAGGGGGAAATATCCAATGAGTTAAATTGATTGTGTCGAAAGTTGTTTCAAGATATCTAAAATAGTTGACGTGATATCTTTTTATAATCATAATTTAATTATCACAAATTAAGTCAATGGATCTTATAATGATGACTTCATATTTTGTTTCCATTTCAAATGTTGTAATTTTAATTGGTTATACAGTATTTCTGTGTCTTTGGGTTGAATTCATCAGATGTAATCACCGTCTTTTGGCAAACATTTTTATCCCATTTTTAGCTCTTCTGACCGCAGCTCCTATTCTTTCTACTGTATGATTTGGATCAACTGTCAATTCATACCTGCAATTAATTCATTATCATTAATTTATGGTTATATGGAGTGAAAAGTAGATATGATAGTACAATTCAGCCAACAACATAAGAAAACAGACATCTAGATGTCACCACATGATCTGCTTTGTAAAAAACAATTGCATTGCAACATTTAAACTTGTTAATCAGAACTACGAAAAGTATGACATGATATAGAAGGAAATTATGAGCAAAAATATATATGGTGAAAGACCATAAAATAAAAAGGAACAAAAGAGAGGCGAAAGATACCGAGGGGACATTCAAACTCATAAGTCGAAAATAAACTGACAACACCATGGCTAAAAAAGAAAAAGAAAACAGTCAAACCACAGTACACTAAACACAACATAGAAAACTAAAGTCTGAGCAACACGAACCCCACCAAAAACTGGGGGTGATCTCTGAAGCTCCGGATGGGTAAGCAGATCCTGCTCCACATGTGGCACTAGTCGTGTTGCTCATGTTAATACAAACCTGGTGATAAGTCTAATTCGGTAGGTCACATTTGGGGAAAGGGGAAATAAAGGTTTACAACAATGATCCGAAAGTAAATAATATATAAAAACAAGCAACATAATCAGAAACATCATCAATAAAACATGTAAGAACATTTTACAAAAGAAGACTATACGAAATAAGTATTATTTACCCTGCTTATTACAAACTTCAGACAGGGTCAACCGAAACAATTAATATGGATCTCCCTGATGCCATTTATCCAAATTATGTTGCAATCCAATGTAATATCCTGGGATTATCAACAGAAAACCCATTTTCTGCACTTACTTTGGTTAATTTTATTAAAAATGACCTTTACATAGTATCCTAATAACCAAAAATGGTTTTCACCCGATTATATGCGACAGTATGTGCAAGTAAGGTCCAAATCCTATGCAAGGTTCTAGAACTATTATCTGAACATCCCTTTCTCACAAAGTTGTATTTTTTTTGTTACTTTGATCTTTAAAGGTATGTTATCGAATCAATGCATTTCTTTGTAACCACATAAAACTTTCTGGATTGATTATCCTGAAACCCCTTCTCTTATTAAAGAAAGGCGGAAGATGCCAAACAGATATTCAAACTCATAAGTCAGTGAAAAAATGGCAACGCCATCGCAAAAACACCGACACAAAGACAACAACAGATGTTTTCTAACTCAGAAACATGGCCGAATGTGAAATTTTGAAAATGACAATGGATTTACAAGTCTGTTACCGGTATTAACAACACAGACATTGAAAATTAAAACGCACTTAGACCAACACTTCAACTTAAGCAAGAGCAACACGAACCCCTTTAAATTAAAAAAAAACTAGGGTTGATGTCAGGAGAAGAACAAAATAATTATTCAAGTATGATCGATCGTCGAGTCGAAATTAGTTCAACAAGTAAAACCGATCATGTGAAATACATGTACATGTAATGCATTTGTGAAATATTTAAAGAAGATTATTGAGTGTGAACATGGAACTGTGAAAGTGTGGTCAACACAAAAACAGATATTTACGTATAGATTTTCATGAACGAACTTTCCTACATTTATTGTTAAACGGTTGGTACTGGGACAAACTGAGAATATTTGCTTCATCGTGTTCTTTCCCAATGTTAATTTCGTTCCACTAAAAGTATTTTTTGCAATTTACTCTTTATAAATTAAAAATGTTAAGACTTATTGCATTTCCTTGATTCCACATATTTTTTTCAAAATTTGTTCCCCTGTATTTGAGTGCAGATGGTCTTACCGCTTTAATATTCTTGTTAGAACTGTCTTCTCTTCATTCATAGCAAAGTTCTGTCCTATACAGTTCCTGGTAAAGAGATTATCAATACATATCAAATGGTAAATGAACAATAACAGTAATGCCTTAATTACTCTACGTTGTAGTAAATCTATACCTTCAAATATTTTCTGTTGTAAACATATACTGGTAATTATACCACATTTATGTATGCTTGGTTTTTTTTTACAATAGGACAATCATAAATTCAGGAGACAGTAATTTAACGATGTTCAAATCTCACATATCGATTGAGAAGAGACAAATCAAGGTAAATAATCAAAACAGGGGAAATTGCATGAACTTCAAAATAAGCAATACGGTCGAGTCGACAGGATCAGTATCTCCTGCATGCATCATCCGTCAAGAAATCCTTCTACTGGAAGCTTGTTTGGGTTATATCATATAGACGCATTTTTTTCTGTGGTTTATTATGTCCTATATTTTGATCTTTGGGCCGTCTTTGTCGTATGAAATTGTTTGGATAGATTTTCTTTTGGTTATCTATTGACGAGTATTGAATTAACGGACACGTCTGTAGCGGGATTTGTTCTACTGATGTAGTAAGAGTTTGAGGTGGTCTGTGACAATTAATTTACGAACACAAGTATGTAGTTGTTGGATTCTGTGTTGTAGATGATATTATGGGTGAAATCTCTGGTATTATGTGGCTTGAGAAGTCCAATGTGAATGTAGATGAATCTTAGACCACCACTATACAGATAAATTAACAGTGAAAAAGTATCTCATTACTTAATTTGAATATATCTAATATTTCCATGAACTGAATTATTAAAATGAGTAGAAGAGAACAAACACATACATTCTAAAATGTATGCATTTTCTAGTTGTCTGAAGTCAAAGAAGGTATAGCTGAACCACTAGGCATCATTTTTAGACAATCATTAGCACAAAAAGTAGTCCCAAAGGATTGGAAAAACGCCCTAGTTAGTGCAATCTTCAAAAAAGGGAATAAATCACAAGCAAAAAATTATAGACCAGTTAGTCTCGCATCGGTGATTTGCAAAATAATGGAGAAAATTATAAGAGAACATATAATTAGCTATATGAAAGAAAATAAATTATTTTCAAACAAGCAATACGGTTTTATTTCTGGAAGATCGACAACACTACAACTATTAGAGGTAATAGATAAATGGACAGAAGCTATAGATAATGGCCATGAGGTTGATTGCATATACACAGATTTCATGAAAGCCTTCGATAAAGTACCACACAGGCGACTCGTATAGAAAATTGAGAAATTTGGGATAATAAATCCAATCCTAGACTGGATAACTAATTTTCTGTCTGATAGAAAACAACGAGTTTCAGTGAATAGGGAAACATCTAAGTGGAAAGATTAACATCTGGAATACCCCAAGGCTCAGTACTAGGCCCCCTGTTATTTGTTCTATACATAGACGACTTGCCTGACTGCGTCACATCTGATGCCTACTTATTTGTGGACGACACCAAAATCTTCAAAATTATTGAGAACAAATCAGACCAGGTTATACTAAAAAACGACCTAAAAAATCTTGAGCAATGGAGTGATACATGGCTATTGAAATTCCACCCAGAAAAATATAAATATATAAATATAAGTAGAGGGGTAAGAGATAATAGCATAACTTATAATCTATTAGGTCATGATATTATCAAATGCAAAGAAGAGAAGGAGTAGTTATAGATGAAGATTTAACCTTTGAAAAACACATATGTGAAAAAGTGAACAAAGCTAATTCAATCTTTGCGGCAATCAGAAGAACATTTAAAAATTTAAATGCAAAGATCTTCATACCACTGTATAAAACATTAGTGAGAACACACTTAGACTATGCCAGTTCAGTATGGGCACCTTTCAAAAAGAAATTCATTGACAAATTTGAAAATGTACAAAAAAGGGCAACACGCCAGATACCTGGATTCAACAAGTAAGTTACCCGGAAAGACTGAAAAAACATTGTCATATAGAAGGGTCCGAGGGGACATGATTGAGACATATAAGATACTTAACGGAAAATATGATCCAGAAACTAGTACATTTCTCAAATTAATTTCAAACACCGAAAATAGGCATAGCACAAGAGTTAATAGCAACACAATTATTCACCAAAGATTTAAAACAAGTCTGAGGAAAAACCGCTTTGCAGTAAGAATTGCCAAATTATGGAACAAGTTACCAGATAAAGTAACAAAAGCGCCATCTATAAATGCATTTAAAAATAGATTAGATAATTACTGGGAATGCGAAGAAATCTATTATTCTGATTATCGAGCTGAAATAACCGGAAGCAGCAACAGAAATAATAGAGATAACAATTCAATATATGAGTCTGGTGAAGAGGAACCGTGAGGATCCTGTACCGGAAAACATCATTAAGTATCATTAAGTAAGTAAATATTCAAACTCCCGATTAAACTGAAAACAAACAAATGAAATTTTTAGTATCAGAAAACCTCTCTTTTATGTAAAAAGGTCGCATAACCAACTTTTGATTAGATCATCGACTGGAGCTATAAACTCATAAGATTCCTTACAAAGACACTTACCTTGGACCAGCGGAAAAAGGCACAAATGAATAAGTATATCCTTTATTGTTCATAATATTTTCCTTAGAAAATCTTTCCGGATCATACTTGTCTGGCACTTTCCAGACTGTTGGATTAATATGTACAGAGCTTAGACTTATTGAGAAGTTTGTTCCCGGTGGAAATCGGAAACCATCAATTTCTACTTCTTTGGTACTACGTCTTTGTATGAATGGTACAGGACTGTGAAGCCTCATCCCTTCCTTGATACACATAGTAAGGTACTCTAACTTGGACAAATCTTCCCTGTAAAACATTATCATTAAAGCACAACTGTGTAAAAAGTCTTTATACTTCTTGTTTATTGAAAACGAACTAGTTGTGGGATATAGGCGAGACTCTTCTGTGTTCAACTTAAAAGGGGAGACATAGGTATGTCAATGAATAAGACAACTGAACGAAAAATCAAGTTTTTACAACCACTGGGTCGATATCGCTGATGGTTGGCATGTCGTCCCCGATGGTATAACAGTAGTTAGTAGTTGTGTTGGCATGTCATCCCCGAAGGTATCACAGTAGTTAGTACTGTTGTGTTGGCATGTCATCTCCGATAGTATCACAGTAGTTAGTACTGTTGTGTTGGCATGTCGTCCCCGAGGGTATCACAGTAGTTAGTACTGTTGTGTTGGCATGTCGTCCCCGAGGGTATCACAGTAGTTAGTACTGTTGTGTTGACATGTCGTCCCCGAGGGTATCCCAGTAGTTAGTACTGTTGTGTTGGCATGTCATCTCCGAGAGTATCACAGTAGTTAGTACTGTTGTGTTGGCATGTCGTCCCCGAGGGTATCCCAGTAGTTAGTACTGTTGTGTTGGCATGTCATCTCCGAGAGTATCACAGTAGTTAGTACTGTTGTGTTGGCATGTCGTTCCCGAGGGTATCACAGTAGTTAGTACTGTTGTGTTGGCATGTCGTCCCCGAGGGTATCACAGTAGTTAGTACTGTTGTGTTGACATGTCGTCCCCGAAGGTATCACAGTAGTTAGTACTGTTGTGTTGGCATGTCATCTCCGAGGGTATCACAGTAGTTAGTACTGTTGTGTTGGCATGTCGTCCCCGAGGGTATCACAGTAGTTAGTACTGTTGTGTTGGCATGTCGTCCCCGAGGGTATCACAGTAGTTAGTACTGTTGTGTTGACATGTCGTCCCCGAAGGTATCACAGTAGTTAGTACTGTTGTGTTGGCATGTCATCTCCGAGGGTATCACAGTAGTTAGTACTGTTGTGTTGGCATGTCATCCCCGAAGGTATCACAGTAGTTAGTACTGTTGTGTTGGCATGTCGTCCCCGAGGGTATCACAGTAGTTAGTACTGTTGTGTTGACATGTCGTCTACGAGGGTATCACAGTAGTTAGTACTGTTGTGTTGACATGTCGTCCCCGAGGGTATCACAGTACTTAGTACTGTTGTGTTGACATGTCGTCCCCGATTGTATCACAGTAGTTAGTACTGTTGTGTTGACATGACATATCATTGATACGTTCTTTTTCTGTAAATTTACTGTTTATAAAATGTTGATTTATTCGAAGTACTAAGGTTTTTTTTCTACCCCAGCCATACATTGCCTTAGCCGTATTTGGAACAACTTTTCGAAATTTCAGCAAATCTTCCTTATACATTATAGATGTAATTTTGGCTATAAATAATATTTACATTTTCCGAGAGTCTAAAGTCAGATATATCAAGAAAATGATAAATATTGGTGTTTAACATATTTTGTTGAATTTGCTGATTATGAAAACCCAAAAGTTTTGCCTTCCATGATTAGGGTCCACATTTTATAATATAATCATGTTGGCATGTAAAAGTCGAGCAGGTGGACCTGCAGGTGGTCATAATCAATGAAAGAATGCCAAGCAATATTCAGAATATCAGGTCCCTTTAGGTCAAATTCATGTATTTACACATCCTTGGACAAACATAGTACAAATCATTTGATTTTGCCATGTGATTAGGGACTTTCCGATTGAATTTTCCTCGGAGTTCAGTATTTTTGTGATTTTACTTTTTATAATTAAATCAATTATTATTCGAATTGTCATTTGTAATATAAAACACCTACCAATTGACAAAGTTATTGCTACTGAGTACAGAATCTACTTCTTCTTGACATTTGTTTTGATATTCCTTTTCCTTTGACAATGAGTATAAAGTCCAGGATAATGCACTTGCAGTTGTATCATGACCTGATTTCAAACAAAATAACAAACAATAACAAAACAATCTGTTTACAATAAATGATTAAATGATGACTTAAATTTAAACCATATTCGAAAACAAACTGACAATGCAATGGCAAAAACTGAAAAAAACCGATCAAATGACAAACATCAGTATACAATACACAATATAGAATACACAATATACAATACACAATATAGAATACTAAAGACTCAATACTTTTTAATTGATGATAAGATAAATGTTATGTTCTATCGAAATATAATATTTTCAATCTGACAGCTTGAATTTGCTAAATTATTTTTCAAATTTAATAGTAATATAACATTATTTTTCGAACTTAATGGTAATATAACAAAACCAACGAAATGTCTGGCTGCGCCTCCCCATGCAATTGATTTAGGTAACAAGTATACTGAAGTAATATCTGAAAATGCCATTTCATTGAAGCCAAGAAAACTTTGACGAATATTTTCCTTGAACAATGCTTTGTAAAATTTCAAGCTATCGGCAAACACGTGGCTTCAAGACAGATGTAAAGATTGCTTACACGCTACAACTTAACATTGTAAGCTGCAAACCAAATATAAAAGCATTTCTTTCTATACAAAAATGAGTCAAACATTTTCCATGTACAGGGAGTGTTGAAAATTTTCAAACTAACTGTAAACAGGAAGTGGTTGCACGGCAAATGTAAAAACTTCAATTTTTTTTATAATTGTTTTTAACTTCCAGTGGTTAGAGCTTGTCATTGCATGAACATTTTATATTTATGGACGCCTATATGTAGCTCTTTTTTAACAGGTTATTTTTATGTTTGTGCTATATCTTATTTTTCATATTTAGTCCGTATCTTTGTATCTGTGCATGAGCTTACATTTAAGTCCATAAAGAACAATACACATGAAAGTTTTTTTTTTATATGCACTTGTTACTGGTATAGGTAAAATTCTTTATAAAATGGAAATATAAAATACCTTCAAATAGAAATGTGTCGACTTCATTTCTAATTTCTTGTTCTGTTAGTCCTTTGCCGTCATCGTCTTTGGCAGTCAATAAAATATCAAGGAAATCTAAACATTTCTTCTTACTGATATCCTCTGTTTCCTGAACAATTAAACGATAACGTTTCATCCATATATATTCATCTATGGTTGGAAATGACAATGATGATATGAATACGATCTTCATTAGTTAATTATCAAATCAAATTTCTAAAAGCGGTTTTACTCGAAAACTTGGCCTATTTATAATTATCATCATTAATCATGAATCATAGTTACTTAAATATATATATCGTCTGTTAGGAGTTTGAAAGTAAAATATAACCTGGGTAATTCTTTTGGATAAATAGGTATTTACACACATCTATGAAAAAAGACATCTGTAACACAGTAATAAGAGAGACCTATAATTCAGTATTCTTGTAAAAAGCGCTAATTAACATGATTGTTAATTATTAAACAGAATTTATAGATTTTAACTAATTTCTTCAGTCGAAGGAAGCACAGTCATCAGAGTTGTAAGTTTCTTAATCACATATAATAAAACTCATCAAAAGATAACGTTCTTTAACTTTAGTTAAACGCCAGGATCGTCTGGACTCACCAGTGGTGTTCAAATTAAAAAAATTAAAAAGGCTAAATGAATTACGAAGAAACACCCTTGAAAACAAAACAAAAAATCAAAAACCATCTGTGCCAATTCTGGCTTCGGCCGTCTAGACCTGAGGGTAGAGAAATCTCATTGTTTCAAAATATTATAAAGTTTTATAAACTGTAAATTAACAGAAAATGTCAGTATCAATGATTCTTGTACATTCTTGTCAGCACAAAAGAGCTGACTACTGGGCTTTGGATACGCTCCGGGACGAATCTTCCAACTGCAGTGAATTCGACCCAGTTATTGTATATGTATAAAACATCAAGGATAACAGGCTTTTGATTTAATATAAAGGCAGTATTTTACCGATCTTCAAATCTCGTAAATCGGTTAAGAAGACAAAAATCAAGCTAATCAACAAAATCTGATGGAATCGCATGAACTTCAATTCATACCCTCGGGGAAGGAAGAATCTCCCAACAGTTGTAGTATCGACATTGTGGTTGTAAAAAACTATCAAAGATAACAGGCTTTTTATATAAGTATACAGGCGACAGTAGTGTACCGATGTCCAAATCTCTTAAATCGGTTTAAAAGAGACTAATCGAGGCAACCAATTCAACAAAATCTGAGGGAATCGCATGAACTCCAAATGGAGCGAAACCTTAGGCAAAGACAGTGTAAGAATCTCCTCCAATACATGCATCACCCGCCATGCGTATTCGCATTCAGTCAAAATGGCGCAATCGGTAACAATTCGAATCAGACGACAATACTGGAATCTAAAGATTTAAGACCGAAAAAGAAATGTGGCTAGTGAGTTCAGACAACCCCATATCGTATCGGTCGACCAAATCGTGATGTGACCGTAAAACTTATGTGGTGTCAATTTCAGTCGTTCACCCTCATAACTGTTTGAGCAGTTTTTGTAAGAAGCACACCCTTGTTAATGAAGTACGTATAGTGTGAACATGCACGAGCGTAACGTATTAACTGAGATATATAAACAACACAAGATGGAGCCAAGATTATGTTACTGTTGGTATGGTATCCCAGACGGGCGCTTTATTTACAAAAACTCATCAGTGGCGCGCTCGATTCAAAACAGTTACAAGACAAATCTAATTATAACGTTGACGACCAAAATTTCTAAAAGAATGTTATTTACAGTGACATTGTAAAGTTTGAGCATGATTTGTTGCTTTTTAAAGTTTTCTCTGATTACCAAGAATTTAGGATTTTTTTATTTTAGATCCTTCCTTAAGTTCAGTTGATATATTACTTTTAATGTACATGTGTAACAAAAATGCTTAACCATACGTCTAGAGGTTATCATAGACATTTAACAAAAATCCCTCAAACCATATACCAAGCTCTAAAAACCCCTAGACCGGCCAAACGAAATTTATGTACATCATTAGCAAAACACTTTAAAGAAAGGAGAGAAAACACTAATTCAAATAAGAACATGTATTCTGTATCTCTTATATTATTACACTCTACGGGTAGCTTGAATATATCTACCTTCCAGCAGTCAGTACTTCTGACATGATTAAGAATGTTACTACTGGTCTTACTGGTGACAATAACCAAAGGCAAGGTCTAGAGATCTATGCGTATATGAAATTCATGTAAACAAATAGAAGTCTTCATGTGGATCCTCCGAGTATTTGATATAAGGAAAATATTCTTACACTAAAACAAACTTGTTTTCCAGTTGTGGTTTAAGTTTTCCTGATCCACTCATTTTTTATATTCTACTAGCTGATGTATTATAAAATTGTTCATTTACTGAATGTATGAGAGGTCTTGAATTATGGTGAAACATTTGCCACTTGACAAAATTCACAACACGTAAATAAATGTAAATAATTTGTGTTTTATTTGTTTTGTTTTATGATTTGTTTTCTTGTTGAAACCATTTGATATTAATACAGGCCAAGCATTCATATATATGTATGACTTAAATGTCCATTACATGCAACAGCTTACTAAATATCATAAGACTAACCAATACTTTTCTTCTTGCTTTGATAATGTCATCTGCCACTTTATGTACATAATCACAATTCCTTGAAAACTCTCTACCAATGGAAGTCAAGTAAAATATTGTATCTGGAAACAACCACGGTGATCTGTGTAACAAGAATGACTTCCCTAGAAATTTGCTGTTAAATTTGATAGATGCTAGTGTGCTTCTTTGTTAAATGTTTGTTTGTTTTGAGATTGTGACAAAGTAATGACTGCTGTACCCATATTTTGACAATTTTACCTATTTGTCTGTTTTGTTCACGCATTGTTGTAAATATAATGGAATTTGATGCGACTGTCATACAAGTGAGAGGTTTAGCGCTATAAAACCAGGTTCAATTCACCATTTTCTACATAAGAAAATGCCTGTGCCAAGTCAGGAATATGACAGTTGTTGTCCATTCGTTTGATGTGTTTTATCATTTGATTTTGCCATTTGATTAGGGACTTTCCGTTTTGAATTTTCCTCGGAGTTCAGTATTTTTGTGATTTTACTTTTTGCAACATTAGAAAAAAATAACCCCACACGTAATAAAATTAAATATTCATACTATAGAGTGCTACAAAAAAACACCGGATATCTTCATACTCCTTGCGTATCTTCATACTCCCCGAGTATCTTCATGGTATCATCAGCTCAATAGTCAGTACTTCGGTACTGACATTGTTTATAACAAACCTTTCTGAAATTTTCCGTTTATAAATTTTGAAATCATAAAGAAACTAAGGTTTCTACACCCTCAGGCAAAGTTGACCTTAGATGGATTTGGCTATTATTTAAGGTCCATTTGGTTATATAGTTCTTCGATTGTTTCGGTTTTTATACATCCTTGGCTGTCAAATATTCGGCTTTGAGTGTTCCTGATGAAGGTAAATCCAGAAAAGCGCTACGGATGCATGACATTTATAACGTTTTGTTTTCATTTTTTACAGCACTGGGTCCATTCCTCTGCTGGTGGACTATCAGTCCCTGAGGGTATCATCAGCTTAGTAGGTAGTACTTCGGTATTGACATAATTTATAACAAACCTTTCTAAAATTGTCCGTTTATAAATTTTGAAATTAAAAAGAAACTAAGGTTTCAACTCACCCAGGCAAAGTTGACCTTAGATGGATATAGCTCTTCAATTATTTCGGTTTTTATACATCCTTGGCTTTTCAATGTTCGTATTTGAGCGTTCCTGATGAAGGTAAATCCAGAAAGCGCTTCGGACGCATGAAACTTATAACGTGTTGTTTATCTCGATTTAATGGATAAAAAAGAAGAAGCAAGACAAAAAACAAAAACAGAAGGAATCGCATAAACTCTAAAATGATCGAGACTGGGTACGTCAACAGGTGTAGGTGTCTAATGCCATGTGTTCATCACAAGACATACGAATCCACACTCAAGTCAACATTTCGAAATGTCACAATCGGAAATAGACACAATAGGAAACATTACAGATAAGGCGACTATTCTGGTTTCTAAATCGAAGACTGAAAAAATATCTCGCTAGTAAGTTTAGACATAGGTATATCATGTCGGGTAAACAATTCGTGATTGTGTGTCGTAAAACTTATGTAGTGTTGGTTTCCAGCAGTTTTTGTGTAAGAAGTAAACCACTGTGAACGAAGTCTGTATAGTGTGAACATACACGACAATGACGTATCAATTTAGATATGTAAACGAAATATGATTGGGGTACGTCACTGATGAAAAATTGGAAGTTGACAATTGGAAAGTTGAAATTATTACTGTTGTCATAGATTCTAGTTTGAAGTCGTCCATCTGTGTCAATATCAAATAAGAGGTCAAGATATAAAGCAGAACTTCTTGGTTTGGTAGCATCCTTAATATCAAGGTTCACTGAGATATACTAGATGCTAGCACTCGCTGAAATGTGGGTTATTGAGTGACAGGACAAAAAAACAAGTATATGATAGGAACATTTCTGTTACCCTGCCAGTTACTGCAGGATTTCAAAAAATTTTAATTTTAATCCAAAGACCTTACAACAAAGACCAAGAAGGGTCCTGTTCATAGTATTGACTTAAGCAATTAATGAAAATTAATTAAATCGATAAAGGGGACGCAGAAATAAATGGAAACAACATTTAATAAAGTTCATGCGTCCGAAGCGATTTTCTAGATTTACCTTCACCAGGAACTCTCAAAGCCGAATAGTTGAAAGCCAAGGATGTAAAGAACCGAAAAAAGTTGAAGAGCTGTATGACCAAAAAGGACATAAAATGATAGCCAAATATATCTAAGGTCAATTTGCCTGAAACCTAAGTTTCTATAAATAGTAAAATCTCAAAAATACTATACTCCGAGGAAAATTCAAAAAGGAAAGTTCCTAATCAAATGGCAAAATCAAAAGCTCAAACACATCAAACAAACGGATAACAACTGTCATATTCCTGACTTGGTACAGGCATTTTCTTATGTAGAAAATGGTGGATTGAACCTGGTTTTATAGCTAGCTAAACCTCTCACTTGTATGACAGTCGCATCAAATTCCATTACATTGACAACGATGCGTGAACAAAACAAACAGACACAATAGGTAAAAATGTCAAAAATAGGGGTACAGCAGTCAACATTGTGTTATCATCTTAATCACTATAAAAACAAACAAATGTAACGAAGAAGCACATAAAGGCATACATCAAATTTAACATCCTCATTTTGCTGTTTTATTATACGATTTTATCTATCTATGTAAAATCCACCCATAAAGGATGGAAGGTTTTAAGTACTGGCGTAAAATCGCGCGTTTGAAATTCGCACAGGTAGACATAAAATAATTTTGTCGTTCAGAGTATGACAGGATACATAAGTCCAGAGTCACGTAAAATGGATATCACAAAAAAAAAACAGACTTAACAGTAAAAGTAATATAAATAAATAAAATAAAGTATGACGGGATACATAAGTACAGAGTCACGTCAAATGTATACCACAAAAAACAGAGGGGGCCTCGGTGACCGAGTGGTCTAAGTAGTTACTACTGTAATCACTAGCCAGTCAACATTGAGGTTATGAGTTCGAACCCCGCTCGTGCGGGTGCACTCGACTCCAATCTTAATTGACTAGGATTGTCAGTTTTCCTATCGAAGGTCGGTGGTTTTCTCCGGGCACTCCGGCTTCCTCCACCAATACAAACTGGCCGCCACGAAATAGCCCAAAAGCGGTGCTTAATAGTGGCGTTAAAACACCAAAAATCAAATCAAATCAATCAAAAAACAGACTTAACAGTAAAAGTAATATTAATAAATAAAATAATGTTGTCGTTCAAAGTATGACGGAATACATAAGTACAGAGTCACGTCAAATGGATATCTCAAAAAACAGACTTAACAGTAAAAGTAATATTAATAAAGACAAATAATGTATAACTTTGCAAACGGACAATTTAGAAAGGTTTGTTATAAACATGTCAGTTGCAAAGTACTGACTATTGAGTTGATGATACCCTCTGGGACTGATAGTACAAGTGCAGTTGTATCGACCCAGTGCTGTAACAATGAAAGCAACACTTTATAATTTCAAGCGTCCGAAGCACTTTTCTGGTTTTACCTTCATCAGGAACACTCAAAACTGAATATTTGAACGCCAATGATGTATACGAATCAAAACAGACCAGAAGATGTCAAGGGAGAAATCAGAGACCATATTCGAAGAAAAACAGACATAACCATGACAAAAGGACAAGTCGACAAAACGACAAGTCAATAAAACACTTCACAGAAAACTTAAAATTAATTTTATTTTCCAACAGATCAAATGATTGCAACTGTAATTTAAAATTCTCAATTTGAACAGAACATTTCGTTTTGGAAGTATCTCGATGCAAATGACTTTAACTACATAAGTACAGATGCCTCTTATACCTATGTCCTACTTCAATCAAACACAAAAGGTTATAATAATAGTCATACAGCTATCTTTCGTTTTGTTCAAATCAATAACATTTGTCCATGTATGGTAACATATATTTTTCATACCTGCTTCTTGCTGCCCAACACTTGGCAATAATACCAACAGCATTACAATATGGATGAGATTCTCCACTTCTACAATTGGAAAAGTATTACATCAAACTTAAGAAGATAAATATGCATTATTCACTATATATCTGGCATCGGTAATACACAATTGCTACATGTTTAGCTTTCAAACGTACAATACTTAAACACTAAATCAGAAACATGTGACAGGAACACTGAAATCAGCAAAGTTATTTTATATACAAAGTGGCTCCAATGTTTCTAAAAACCTAACTTAGCCATAGAAAGGGACATGAAACCATTTCAATGTGAGAATTGACGAAAATGTAAACCATGACGTTTCATTCGTAAATGTTAGGGCACATTCAATTAGATCTGACCTCAGCCAAGATATGTAGGTTAAGCCATTTTCTACATCCTGCATCTGAATCTAGGATACAGTTGAATCAGAATGACAATTTTTAGAATGTAGTATAACAATTTATTAGACAGGAGATTTTGTACATGAGTTTGACTTTAGTTACTGCGAGCCCTCTTTGATATCTTCAACAAGATAGGTGTTTTTACAAAATGTCAAGCTCTAAATCACCCCAAGTCTAGAAAAGAAGCTAATAAATGTGTTATAAACTATCAAAGATTTTCCTACAACACCTAATTCCCCCAAAAGACCAAAATACATTATGATATGACAGAATTGTATTGGGACAGATATTTTAGCATGTTGCAGAGTTAAAACTAGGTTAGAAATATCAACCCTTCTATTTTAACCTCATTCATTTGACTAACAAATGGTACTTTTGTGCGTTCTAAACTGTCCTTCTTATTATTCCACTCATTGGGATAAACAAAGGGAATGTTTTTTTAAGAATAATTAAAAATATTCTGGTATTGGTGTGAAATACGTTCAAAAAAAGGAGGGGTGTAGCCCTTTAGCTTAAATGTTAAACTTGACGTGAATCATTTAATCATAAAAATTAATAGTCTCATAGATCTTCCTTGTTGCATCCCTCCATCAAAATTTAAAATGTATAGTCACTTCGAATCTTGGGATCAAACTGTGATATTAAAAGTTTATTTAGTCAATAAAGGAATTAAGTATAAAATGTTAGTCAGACTGACTTTCTCAGGCTGCAACAATATATGAAGTCATAAAATATTGGAGAAATAAAAACTTCGCCTAGGGAAATGAATCATAATGTAGGTAAGACTGACTTTTAAAGGTAGAGTTATATTACAGTCACTGATAGTAACTTTATGTCTTCCGACTGAACATTCCCTTTAACTTTAACAATGAAATGGAAGCCAAATTAAGAGTGAAATATGGTTTGTATAACATTTAGTGTCTGTGTGCAAGACGGACTTGCACAATAACAACGCAATAGAAACAAATTTCTATACATACATATTTTTCTGACAGTCTGTCTCATATGAGAAAGCGCATCTGAGCATCACATCTAAGGTGTAAGCACTGATCAACTGGAATACTTCAAAACTTTCAACCGAATCAGCATATTTATCAATATTTTCCTAAAAATTACAGTACAATAATGTTCAAAACTTCCATCGTCTGAGCAAATTTATCATTTTTCCCTGACATCTATATGATGGCCCAAGACAGTATGTATATTGAAAGGGATATAACTTACACATGTATATATCCAGACAAACTTCAATTGTTTCACCTTCAGCAAGTTACCATCGCTTTTATAACATTAACGGTACCAATTTTAATTTATGAAATAATAAGCAACCACGTTAATTGAACCTTTCATATAACTGTGACACGTTTATATCCTAGTCCAAGTCAATTTAAGTGTGTAGAAAAGTCAGAGTAACAAAATGATTCCAGAAATTGCAAGTTGTACAGTGTATTTGGAGTTATTATAGTGTTCAAATATCACCAATCCATGGTCACCACTAAGAAAGCATCAAATGTTTTCAAGTGTAAAATGTGTCAGACCACTTTTATGGAGATTATTGATCAACTGCTATTTTAGCATCCAAATATATAATAAATATTCAGGATTATATTGTAGTGGAAACATGAAGGTTTTCAAAAGACACACAGTTACTGTATGGCCATTCAAGTAAAAAAAACGTCCAGAGAAACATAAATACAGTTTTGCCGATACCTCCATGATTGGTGATTGCTGTCTGCCATATTTGGTTTTCGTTTATTGTTTATTGTTTATTGATTTGTATTTAAATCAGTTCGTTGGTTTTCTCGATTGGGTTGTTTTATATTGTCTCATGTCGGGGCTATTTATAGCTTTAGTTACTATACGGTATGGGTTTCGCTCAATGTTGAAGACCGTACGGCGACCTATAGTTGCTTACATCAATGCCATTTTGTCTCTGTTGGAAATTTCTTAATTACTACCATACAACCTCTTCTTATATTGTTATATGCATTTAATATTATATGATTTTTTAAGAGTATGTGTATTGACACAAAATGGTAAAAAAAGAAATGTTCACTTATGCTCTTATTTCTTCTATGCATAATAAGTAAGAAAAGCTAATGAAACCTAGTGTAACATTATAATGTTTGAATAATATGTGTACAATGATTTCATTTTTACAAATATCAATAAAATTAAAATATTTATATCAAAGCATGATATTATTGATGAAAATAATTGATAATGTAATGTACAATTTAAATAAGGTATTATAGGACATTTACGTTTTACATCCTCGAATCCGACATACCGAATTATCACCGGGTTTGTACTGACACCAGCAACACGATGGGTGTCATGTGTGGAGCAGAGTATGCTTACCCTTCCGAAGCACCAGAGATCAACCATAGTTTTATTTAAAAGGGGTTCGTGTTGATCTTGCTTCAGTTTTTAGTGCTGCTCTTGCTTTAGCTTTTAGTGTTGCTCTTGCTTTAGTTTTTAGTGTTGTTCTTTGTGTTTTTTTTAATTTTTTAAATGTCTCTGATGTTTATAACGATAACAGTCTTGTCTATCCTTTGTCATTAAAAAGTTGTTTTCAATTTCAAAATTTCAAATCCAGTCAAGTTGCAGGGTTAGAAAATATACATGACCGATGGTTTATAAATTTAGTAATGTCTTAGGGGTAGAAAAGAGCCAATTACCAATCCGCTATTGCGTTATACAAAATCACCTGATATAACTCATCAACATATTTTATAAGATAGCGAAGGGTGTCACATGTGGAGCAGGATCTGCTTCCCCTCTCGGAGCACCTGAGGTAACCCCGTTTTCCATGTTGTTTTTTGTATACTGTTGTTTGTGTTTGTGTTTTGGTTGTTGTTGGTTTTTTTTTTTTTTTTTGCCATGCCATTGTCAGTTCGTTTTCGACTTTTGAGTTTGATTATCCCTTTGGTATCTGTCGCCTCTCTTTTACATAGAAGGACATTCAAAGAATTTTTTTTACTGAGAATCAATTTTTTTTAATTTAAAAAATTTGATACAATAATTTTGTTTTGAATGTCCCTCTTAATCATTTTTCAGGTAAAATTCAAGATTTGCAACAAATCCTTCGAATTTGCAATTTAAAGCTATTTATTGTTGTGTTTTTTTCTTCAATATTATTAACGGCTTACAAACACTAGAACTTCAAGCATATATGTGAAAATGTGAATGTATCTTGCTGAAAAAAAACCCCACATATTGTGACTTTTTTCATTCTGAAATATAAAACATGTATTATGAGGATGGATATAAGGCCTCGTTTCAAAAATAAAAAACATCACTTATTCCTCATTTAACAACACTATTATCATACCAACAACAAGTCAGCAGCCTCGTTATAAATAGTTTGGTATGGACGAAAGGCTGGTGTTAGTAATCGTCTAGATCTAGCCCATTTGGCACCTCCAGCTAATAACAATCCTTCTCCAAGCCATGGTAACGCATGTCTGTAAGCTCCGCCCCACTGAACTGGTTTAGGTTCTAAAACAAGATTTTATGAAAGTTACGCCGAAATAAGAGTTACCGTTAGTTTCAATTTTTATTCTTACAATTAGATGAGACTGAATTAAAAGAAAGTTCGACAAGAGAAGAATCATGATCCTTTGTTATCTATGTGTGTACCAATATGAGACTAATATTCAGGTATAATATGCGTATCATTCTGTTTATTTCCTTTTTTGAAATGTCACCATGTCCAGCTCTGTAAATAGATGTATCAAATGAACATGTAGGATGATACAGAAGTATTGCCATCTTTCTGTAATTATTGTCTGATCACTGACGTATACCCACCGTCTCATTTTAGTCATAACACACACTTTCTTTATCATTATACTTCATTTAAATGATATATAATAGTAAAAACTCTTAAAACACATCTTCGAAAACCCCTAAAGGTGGTCGCTATCGCCTTAAGGTATTTCCTGACCTACTAGATTGTAACTTTTACCTGCAGTCTTTAAAAGAACACTAACAGTTTCTGGGTGGTTCAACATGACACTCGGTCTCAATGGCCCTGTCCAAAAACAGTATATACGTGGTAACCTCCCAGTTGTTTCTTGTGCCCATCTTATCAATTTCTCTCCAGGTTCTGGAAGCTAAAACATCACCAAACATACAATTCAGTTTCAGGTAACGTTTATGTTGTTTGGCCAGTATCAACTAAGAAATAATTTTTTCATGCCATGCTCTACATAAAAAAGAACATGTGGTATGATTGCCAATGAGACAACTCTCGACAAGAGACCAAATAACACATAAGTTAACAACTACAGGTCACCGTACGGCCTTCAACAATGAGCATAGCCCATACCGCATAGTCGGCTATAAAAGGCCCCGAAATGACAAATGTAAAACAATTCAAACGAGAAAACTAACGGCCAAATTTATGTACAAAATAATGAACGAAAAACAAATATGTAACACAGCAACAAACGACAACCACTGAATTACAGGCTCCTGACTTGGGACATGCACATACAGAATGTGGCGGGGTTAAACTAGTTTGGATGCGCCAACCCTCTCCCTAACCTGGGGCAGTGGTGTAACTGCACAACACAATAACAAATTTTACAAAACAATATACAAAAAAACAAATGAAAATAAAACTATTGACAGTAACGAATTACTGGTTCCGTACTCGAGCCTCGATAATGTGTGTACCTTAATGACGAATAACGGTAAAGAGCTGGACTATTCAGTTGTTAAATCCTGTTTTTTATCACTTCTAAAACTTTGAAACGTATTAAGGCAATAAAGGCAATCATTGGGGACATTCCGACAATGACCGACATGAAAACTACGTACTTTCGAAATGGAATCCGTCAACAGACATTAGTTTGAATATTGATATTTCTGTCAACAGACGGTGCATCGTTTGATGTGTAAAACACCAGCAGATTCACGTGTGCGCTTGACTCTTTATTATCGCAATAACATACTTAAATATTCTAACTTTCGTTTTAAAAAAACACATGTTGTCTAATACTGGAATATGACTTAATTGATTGCATTAAAGATCTGAACGCAGACGGAACAAATAAATCCGTGTATTTTTTCAAGCATCATTGATTTGAAGTCGTACTCTCCACGTATATACTTGACTTTAACTCAAGATGGATGGTATGAATATATGACAATTCTGTTTATCATTATTTTGAAACTTTCAGATGCACAATTAAATTCCCCATTTGTGCACATGCGCAGATACGTAACCAACGTGGTTTAAATTAACCCGAATAATCCAGTTGTTTTATTCCGATAATTCCAATTATTTATCTGCCAAAGACAATTATTACAACAATCAGTGAGAATTATTATCATGACCTATTAATGCTCCAAAACAAGCCATCAACTTTTAATTAATTTTTTTTCATGTGTGTTCATGAATTTCGAGAACTTATACCATATAAATATCTGAATAACTTAATTAAACTTTAATACCCATGATATTATTATTTTTTAATAATTGCAAGGACGTATAAAACGTCCTTGATAAAAGCAGTCAATATAATACTTCCACGATAAAAATAAGGAGAAGGAACCCAGGGTGAACGTACTCTATGGGGACGAACTCAGGGCGAACATGTAATCAGGGCGAACCGACCCGATACCAAATTCACGCATGCGTACTACAAACTCTACTTTAAAGACATCCGATTACAAGTAAATAAATAACGTTCATGTAAGATGAGATGAAATCTAATAATTTACATAAATAAAAGGGTTGATATTAATACATTAAAACATGAGAAATTATAACACTAACGATAGTGATCGCTTTTCAAGCCTAACTAATAAATTTAATGATGCAGATACTTAGATCATGTGTAAACTTCGGTGTCAAGATATGGCACGGAAGTTGTGATGAAATTGCAAAGCACAGAAAGGGATACGGCATATACGTCCTGGTAACGGTTCAATGATTTTACAGCCGGCAGTAAAGGCTTTCAGAAGACTTGAAGTCTTCTTCCACCAAAAACGACAACTACTCAATTACAGGCTCCTGACTTGGGACAGGCACATATCATATAAAATGTGGCGGGGTTAAACTAGTTTGAAGGCGCCAACCCTCCCCTAACCTGGGACAGTGGTGTAACATTACAACATAAGAGCAAACTATAAATATCAGTTGAAAAAGGCTTAACTCATCAGATGGATACAAATAGAAATACATAAACAAAAAACACAGAGTGGACGTGGACAGGTACTTATACATCCAAACAACAAAAAGATACTAAGTACAGATCTGAGAGTACTCGCAGCTACTGAAAGCTAGTTCAAAGCCAATAACAACTAATACAAAAATTCATGCATCCAAGACTAAATTATCAATCAGTACACATCCAACATCCAATGAATTTAGTGTAAAGACGTTATAAACAGTCAGAGAAAAACATGACCTTGTGCAATGCCAAGATACCGTGAGGTATCGACAGATTGTAGAGCCATGAATGTGCACATGTATATAACAATAATATTTAGTTTGATTTTAATTTACTTATAACAAAACAATATCAATACCAATAAAAACATTATTCAAAGATCTAATTACAGTGTTGAATTGATAACCTTTTAGAATAAGTTTATTTAAAGGATTGACAAGTTTATCCGGATCGTTTCTAAATTTCCGGGCTTGGTAAACAACATCTCCGTAATCAAAGAGCTTAAGAGCTCGGAGGGAAAAGGCGGCCATTTTTTCTATTTTTTGGGGGTATCTTTTGATAGTCTTCATACAAAGAATGAGCAAAAGAACAGCCAGATCATGCAGAAAGGTTGACAATTTTGAAATTAATTGTTGTTTAATGTAAGTTCATTTCCTTAGTCAAGAATTCATCATGGAGTCAATTTGGACCAATGGAAGAGATCGGCACCTTCTAAATCAAAACATTTGATTAAAGTTGAAAGTTAATTATCTAAAATTCAATTGAATTCTATCATTTAATAACTTCTACAATACATTTTAATTTTTTTTTTGTGTACCACTGAACTGCAGGCTAGGGTCATTCTCCATTTTTTGTGACAGTGCTCTAAGATTTTTAATTGATTACAACTTTCTCAAGAAAGTGAGGACTGAAAAGACTATTCAGTTTTAAATTTCCATTGATAAAGTTCCCAGTTACAACTCTCATCACAGGAATGCATGTACTTACAAAAATCAATCAGATTGATATAAGCTGTGTGCAGCTTGTTTCAAGATCCTACATTATGATATATGCAAATTTCATGAATAAATATGTTTAAAAAGCAACATTTGAAAATTTTATAATTTTTACCATTTTGCTGGTACACAAAATTTTGTTTAAATGGAAGACTACTTATCATCTAATGAATGTCACGTTTTAAGTGTTCAGATACATTAACTTTTATTTTGGTGGATAATTACTCATCAATTGAGGTGCTCCTGTATTGTAGGAAGATTCTCAATACAGTTACAGAAAGAATGAAAACTGTCGTTTCTCTCCCCAATCTCATGTATCCCCATTGTTTACCGCGAAAGTTGACCTACAAATTAAAGCATTGATGTTGGAATCATCTACAGCAAACATAATTATGTTTAAATAAACAAATACCAATTTTAAAACCGTACACGATTTCTGCGAATGATTTTAATAATGAGTAAAGGATATCACTTCTTCTACGAAGTGTGGAATTCCTACCATGACGTCACTAGGTTTGATATATTTAGAATATTTCTTAATATTATTAATTCGTATATTTTAACAAATTTGATTCGTTTAGGGATAGTCACATGTTAAACTATATTTTCGAAGGTAGAGAGAAAACGGCGGATAGCAAAAAGCATATTGCACAGCAAAAAGCATATTGCACGGTTATTTTTAGAATATCTAAAACCGATATACTTTGTGACGTCATGTAATGAATTTCAAGATATAGTTCAACGTTTTGAAACAAATGACATCTGTGATCGATTATTTGACAATTTTTTTTTTCAAATACATAAGATGTCAAACAAACAAAAAAAAGTAAATGAAATAACAACTACTGATTTTTCCGGATTGTAAAAGAAACGTAATTAGTGTAAGGGAGAGCTCAAGATACGATAATTTCACGAGAAACAGAAGGGAAATGTGTAAAAAAGTGTTTAAAGTCAATCTGTTCATTTGTGTGTCTCCTTCTCATCAATTCAGTATGAAATTTTGAGGTGTTTTCCCAACTATAAAAACAAAATGATTGACGTGAGAAGCTTGGAAGTCTGGCCAACCAAATAGGGAATTGACGGCTTGAAGCCGTCTTTCCCTAAAAATGAGGATGTGCTATCCCGTTTGAAATAAGTTTTCTACAGGTACAACCAAACTTCAAAACCAAATCTTTATGTCTAAAGAATTTAGTAAAGGTTTTAAGTAATTTGTGGTAACGAAATCCCTGACTTAATAATTTACCAGTAACCCATGGACTACGTTCATTAAAATCCAAAACTTAACAACAGACACGGGCATAGCGAACGATTTGTGATATATAAACACCGTAAGATGGTGCCAAAGGAACATCACCATCCAAAAAAGGAAAATTAACAATAGGGAACGAAAAATCGTCCCTTTTGTCGTAAATTTTAGTGTAGAATTTCCCGTGTAAGACTGAAATATCTAAATCTAGGAGAGGACAGTTATTACCGTTTATAGTTGCTTTATTTAAAGTAGTTCCTTTGGGTAAATTTCGGCAGTACATTTAGAAAATTCTTGATTATTTAACGAAAAAAAATCATCAAGATAATGTTAAGTGTTGTTGAATTTATCAATTAAATGCAACTTAGACGGGTCTTTACTGAGTTTGGTCATAAACTTTGATTCATAACAGTACAAGAACAAGTCTGCTATTAAGGGGGCGTAATTGGTGCCCATAGGAATACCTAAAACCTGTCGATAAGCTTTATTGCTGAAAACGTACATAAATATTATCAAGGAGAAAATTAACAGCTTCAATCATCTCATCACACCTCCAGTAAGTATATCTAGCATATTTACCTTTCTCATTAGAGAAGAAGGCTTTTAATGAGTTGCAGCAAATATATTTGCATTCAGATTTACCAAACGACCATTTAATTAAATAGGAAAACTTTTGTTTGATAAGATTGTGT